GCGGACCAACTGCAACAAGTCATTGGAGTAAGTTATTAAATTTCTTATCCTATTAATAAAGAAGACAGTTTTTATTTTATTTAGTTATACCAGAATTACTTCTATCAAGTAGATATCCAGGCCTAGAAGATTTTGATGAGCATCAATACATAACACGAAGGTTGCAGATACTATTTGTTTGATTTTGTCATAATTTCTATAAACAAAATTTGATATATAGATTGATTCTTGATCTCATACGTTTATCAATAGTTTGGTAAGACATATAGTAAATTTATTTGATAGATTGTATAATCACAGAAACAAATAAAGAATGTGATAGTATTAACAATATTCTTATTACAAATGAGCAAGATCATAAATTCTATTCAGCACTTATTTATATTCACATTGTAAATCAGCATCTTATAAAAATACTCATAAAATACATAATCATCTTTCATTGTATTATTTTCCTATGTTCATAAGTTCATTAATATCAAGTATTCGATCGTTTTCAACTCATTATTAACGTCATTTTATCAATTATAACCGAACCCAATGAACAATTACTTCTTTTAGACTAGACTTTTGCTGTTTTCAAATAAAAAGATAAAGAACTATTCTTTATTTTTTTACTCTGGGCAAGAAAAATACTTTTCGAAAAACAACAGTCACATGAAGAATAAAAACATAAAGTAATGAAAAGAGTATTAAAATCATAACTGAATCTCTTATTTACCTTCAAAGAGTTGTGCGTAATGAATGAATTCCTATAGAGACATGAATCTATTCAAGTGATGTTTGCTTTTACCTTTGTCAATCAAACAATTTCATATAACTGATCATGCAGTCTATATATCGAATGAAAATAAAAATGGATCATGAAATGAAAATAATAGACATAGAGAAGATTTTTCTATAACGAACGCTTAGAAAATAAACATTTCAATACACATAAATGAATAAACCAATCAAAAAAAAAAGACATGTACTTTTAATTTCAAAGGGCACGAACACCTACTGTGAGGAACAATTTTATGTTCTTTCAACGAAAAGAGAAATGTGAGAAGTAATGAAAAAAAAAAGAGTAACGAAAAATCACTTATTGCTGCCTATACTTTATTTTTTCATCGATCACACAAAAAATAATGCGATTTATCAATGTCTTGTTTTTCATTATATCTCTTTCATCTGTAAAAGGTTTGCTACAGATTATCTTTTTCTACTTGATTCTATCATAATATAAATAAACTCTAGGACAAACTACACAACTACCTAATTATTCTTGTAGTGAAAATAATGTTTCTGTTCAATTTACATTATCTTCATCATTTCATTCAGCATGGAATCCAACATCAAATTGTTCTTTACAACAATGTAATACAAGCTTGAATGGTAATAATAATTGTCTTTCATCAACAACAACTTGTTTTGATTATCGAACTATAAATAATATTCGTTATTGTGCACCTGGTATTTTATGTTCAATATTAGAAAGATGTGATAATATTACACAAATATGTTCATCAAATAATTCAGTATGCGTTATCAATTCGTGTTGTTCATCACAAGCAATATGTTTACCATTGCTAGCAACACAAATGTGTAAAACAGGTACTAATACATATTATTTACATTGAAAACTCCATTAAAATCAATTAGAATAATATACGTATGTTGAAGTGTTCAGTTTAGTTAGTGAATGACACATTAATATAAGTTCATGTATTATTCTATTGGTAGAATAAGAGGTTATAATTTCATAATAAATCAATATTATTTGTGTTTTGTATTTGAGCTGAAATATTTCATAGAACAAACTTTTGTAACATGCTTTTATGTTTACATTTGTTGCATTAAATAACAAAATAATATGAATGAATAGACTGAAGTATATAAATCGTCATGAAAAATCATCTCAAGTAAAATCTACATTTTGCTTAGTTTCATATTTTTTTTATTCGCCTCTTTTCTGTTGCTGTCATTGTTCTAATAATATTAATTTATACTGATGACAGGTGTAGTTTGAGAGACGTTGTTGAATATCAATATTAAACTTATTGTAAAATAGATGAGTCATTTGGGATGAAATTTAGAAACAAACTATATGTGAAGATGAATCAGTTTTGATAGGGAATCTAAGATTATCATTCTGTGATGAATTGAACTATACAATTAGAATTAAATACTATCTTTATCTTTAGATTAATCTTTTATCTCATGTTTGCAATATTTGTATAGGTTTGTTATTTCTATGATATTTTTCATTACATAAAAAGATGTGTGGATAGGGAACTAACGAAAAATTGTCTTTGTGCTAGTAAATGTAAGTAGAACATTTAATAAGATATGAAACACCATTGAGAATAAGATCGAAAAGAACTAAACAGGTAAATTCGTGTGAAATAATGGAGAACTAACAATGATTTGATAGTGAATTAGGAGAAACTTCGAGATTAACCACTCATCTTCCTACTAGTTCATCGTTGATATCAGTTCCAGTTCCAGTAATGAATGCTATTTAGGTCTTTTCATACCTATATATTGATCATAGTAAAAAGAATGTTGTAAATAATTCACTATTTTGATTGTGATATGCAGAGAACTATGAAAGAATTGATGAAAAGTTCATGAATTGTCTTATACTAAACATCTTTCGAGCATTGCCTATAAAATTTATAGAGAATCGAAAAACACATCAGTCAGTGTAATTATCACAACGGTCAATTTGAGACAAACATCTTTTATATATTTGATTGAGATAAGAGAGAAAATAGAAAATATAGGAAACTGAATATGTCATAATGGTATGTAGAGAGATTTGTGCAATACATTTGACTACTATTGTCGCTCTACATAAGTTTGAAGTGATATCAAACAGACATATCAAAGGCTGTCGTTTTTAGAATAATGAATGTTGATTGTTTGGTTATCTAATATTGCATTGTCTAAATATATAGAAATATAACTTCTAGGATGGTTTTCTACTGGTAATATGAGTGATGCACGATATTATCACACAGCATCCGTATTATCAAATGGAAACGTATTAGTTACTGGTGGAACAGTAAATGGCACCAACTATTTAAATAGTGCTGAACTGTATAATCCATCGACAGGTACTTGGACAATTACTGGTAACATGAGTAATGCACGATATTATCATACAGCATCTGTATTATCGAATGGAAAAGTATTAATTACTGG